AACTGCAATGATTTTCTGTAGATTATTTCGATATATTGTATTTTCCTAATTTTGATCCCAGTACATTATATATTATTTATATTACTAAGTAATATATAATAGTAATATATAGTAATATATATGTTACTTATTAATATAAGTAATACATAATGGTATTCAATGATATTTCATAGAGAAACATAATTTACTGCTCACTAATAAATAAATAAGCGGCAAATTATGCAATTATATAACGAAGTAAAGCTCACAAAAGCGGGGCAGAACAATGATTTCAGTGGCGTAGCTGTAAATAACGAACGAAAATAGTCGTCTCTGTCGTGTTTTTGCAACATAAGTAGCACTGACCCCAGGTGGTTTGTATCTGCATATTTGAATGGATCCCTATAGAAATAATTAAGTATCGTGAAGATTCAAACATCGCTCAGATAATTTTTGAATCGAACTTGGTGATGCTAAGAAGTGCAAATTTAACAATGTTGCATGAAGTTTCTAATGTTATGGTGAAGATGATGACGTCTTTATGATTTTCGTTTTTTACAAAAGTTTGCGAAATTTAACCATCACAGCAACGATGAATAAGGCAGTGAATAACGTAAGATGCGTCAGGTGATATGGTAAAGCAATTGAGAATTGTTCATTAATAAAGTATATACAACTGCTCCATAAAAATATCGATATATGAAGGATGACGTAATGAAATTTCTGACTCCTGTAAGTATATCTCTCAACAGTGGATAAAATTAAACCTTTCTTCATAAATTCAAAATTCATGAATTTCACAGTCACAGTATTCCACGGACATGGTTATGAACTCACTTGTTCACAAAATTCTTCGCATAAAAAATTGGATTCGCATAAGGTAAGTAGCAGGCAATAGTTGCATATAACGCTAAAGCATGAAACCAGATATCTCCCGATCTCAGGCATATACGTGCCCAGTATCGAATTTGATACCTATAAGTGACACTTTTCACTGAACGTTTTGAACTCGTGGAGGAATATCGCCTATCGCCAAAATGCTTCTCTGGTTTATTGGATTTTGTAAAATTATAGAACGATAGTTGGAAATTTTATATAATTCTACTTATATTATCTGACAGAAAGCATTCAGAGTCATTCCTTCTTCAAATAAATGATGACCAAGGTTCCGTTATAATCAATAAGTCTTTTCAAGACGAACCAAAACTAACGAGTTTTTTGTATTTTCGCTAACATTAGTGAAGAGATCTACGATGTTTGTTATATCTATCATAAGATCAGATATGGTTATCATAGAGCAGATTGCCATTAAATTAAGCGTAAAATATTTGAATAAGCCATCCTTCACTTTCACAATTGATAAATAAACCAAAAATGATATAATTATGAAATCAGCAACTGTCGTAAAGTATGAAATGAGCTGGATCGTACTGTATAAGGCTGCTAAAAATTTTCAAACGAAAGATTATTTGGAATATGAAATTGGCGACCATTTTATTTGGTATTATGATATTGTACAGCTAAGCTACTGCACTAATTTCCAGGATACTTTTTTTTCTTTTTTTTTTTATTAACGTTAAGAAGTTAAATCATTTGTTGTGAAGATAGTTGGTGAGACGTTTGAGATTTGGTAAATTTATTTGAATCCATAATCAAAACCAAAATCCCACACATTTAACAACGGAAATTACAACAAATTCCGCAATATCGTGAAATTTTTGTTTAGAAATTCATCAAAAAATAAATGTACGATTTTACTTTGGAAGGGAAAATCATATCAAAAGACTTACGACATGAAAAACCTTTCTCTGCACATATTGGTCTCTCGGTGATATTGATTCCTCCATAATGAAGGTTACCATCATTACTGTTATTGTTGAAAAATATTGCACCAGACATTAGTCTCAGATGAAATAAATATTGGATAGTTTATTACAATTTCAATCAAATGCTCGCTCAAAATGATTCTGAAAAAACGAAAAACTGAATCGAATAAGATTTTGAAAGTGCAAAATTGACAACGATAAATAAAATACTAATAAAAAATGTAATAAAGTGAAATTGCTAATAAAATCAATAGGAAACTAATAAAATAGTAGTAATCAAATTTCTCATTTTTTTTTCAGATACCGCATTTTTTAAACGATTGGAATTTGAACTATTGCAATGAATCATCCAACTAAAGTTTGTCTTCGACCAGTTTTTGCAACAAATTTTACACACAATTAGGTAAGGGTGATTTTAGCAGTTTCAACACTACGATAAAAGTACGATTAATCGAGATTTACTTCCTTTAATACCCATCCATATTCATTGTTTCTGATCAAATAAATTTTATATTGTAAAGAGCATTGTTATGAAGTAGTATAATGAAGTATTCCAACAAGTATTTAACGGCGAGTCAACTGTACCATTAACGAATTCTCGAGTACAGATGATTAGTGAAAAGCATGCATAATAAAAGTTGAAAAAGCTATAACCCTAAAAGTTGGGGCAGTCTATAACCTAATCGTCTTCACATAACTGCACATACGGGAATGTTTGAACTATCAGTGCTGCTATTGACGTAATTGTGCCATTAGAATGATAGGGTCGTTCATTTCGCTGAAAACAATAAGTTTTGACGCTATCAAAGATTACGTAATGTGTCAACTGTCAAAGGATATTCAGGTTGAAGCACTACGTAATTTTATATTGAGCGTAGGAATACCGATTCGTATAACTATTGTTCTGATTACTTCGGCAATTCAGCAATGTTAGAATAGTGCGATCAAAATAAAAATGACAATGTAATGTAGAAGAGAGGCATCTAATGAATTTGAATTGTTTCCTTTTTTATCTTCAGTGCGCTGTTCAAATTGTAATTTAATTTATAAGCTTAAATTTGGATCGAATTTGGCTCTTACATTAATCTCATTCTGATAGTTACCGAATCTGTCGACCCATTTTACCATTGGTATGCTATCGAGCTCGTAAACAGACTTAAATTGATGCTTGTCACAGAGCTAATTATTGCATTAACAATCTTAGCAATATCACAATAATGCCACTTTGTTCAGACATTACGGAAGTTATTATTTCGCGCCATTGGGATTATTTATTCCTCGGTAAGACATTACTTGAAGTTATTATCCAACTTCATTAATGTAATTATCATGAAAATTGAAAAGTGCTAGTTGCTATATCAGTGTTGTGAAGTGGGTTATGCGATACAAACTTCGTCAGCAACGACAATTTTTAATTTGATTATTTCTGCCAATAATCCTTCTCGATAATTTCAGGCTTTACATACATTAAGTTATATTAAAGGGAATTTAGAAATACATAGAAAAAAAAATCAAGAAAATTTTTTAAGTTTTCTCAATGTTTCTTCATTTATACCATAGAGAGGATAAGAATATATCATTCCTCTTGTTCATGAGAAATGAAAAATAAAAAAGAATTCATTAGACATCGTTTTTTTTAATAGGCAAAAAATTCATTATGTTCTAATTTTGCGTCACACTAATGATGCAAGTTATTGCTTTCTGTATACGATACTGGTTGGATGCTCATAATAAGAACTGAATGAAGTATTGTGAAGAGCATGTTTTGACTAGTCTAACCTAAGGTTAAATGAAACAACGTGGAATCACAAAATAAGTATACTGAGAAGGAGAATCTATGCTGGAATGGATTTTACTGCATAAAAAAAACCGATCATTGGAACAAATAATACTATAGCAAATACTTTCATACAGTAAACACTTAATAAAGTATATGCTTGTATGGAATGTGGTTGTTCATAAACCTTATCGGAAACACTAGGATCAATGGAAAATGATCCTTAATATTCATTTTTTTTTAAAAATCAGTTCAGATTTTCTAACGCAGTGCAAAGTATTGATTTTGATTACGGATTCAAATACAAATCTCAAACGTTTCAACCAACTATCTTCGCAACAAATGACTTAATTTTTTGTCGTTACAAAAAAAAAAAAAAAATTTTGGAAATTAGTGCAATAGCATAGCTGTACAATATCACAAAACCAAATGAAATTGCCGCCAATTTCATATTCAAAGAATTTTTTGCTTGAAAATTTTTAGCAGCCTTATACAGTACGATCCAGCTCATTTCATACTTTACGACAGTTGCTGATTTCATAATTATACCACTTTTGGTTTATTTATCAATTGCGAAAGTGAAGGATGGCTTATTCAAATATTTCACGCTTAATTTAATGGCAATCTGCTCTATGATAACCATATCTGATCTTATGATAGATATA